CACACTGTTATGGACTATTGGACCATATTGGATGATTTTGCACAGTTCACACAGCTACAATATTTAAATGGCAATGAAATATAAATCTTGACAAAACTAAACAAAAAAAAGATATAAATGAAGGACTATTTTTGTATCTGTATATACAAAATATTGAGGATAGGTATATGGCTCCTTTCTTTTAATTCAATGAGAAGAAAGATTTGTACTAATAGTGTTTGGACAGTATATCATCTGCATCTTGTACTATGAATAACTACTATGAAGACAACAATAGGCAATATATTAATTATTGTACCTTTCCTACTAACCTGTTTTGAAACTGTCTCATTGCTATTTGTTTCTCAATAAAATTTAAAAAAAAGAAAGCGTGTTTGTAGAGACTAGCACATAATGTATAATCTTCCAACTTCTTCATCATACAGTTATGTAATTACATTGTGTTGTTTCATATTTTATAAGAAACCTAAAGGCAACATGATAGTAAATGATAGATTAACACATAAATGATAAAGATCTTGATGTGATAGAAATGACATACTTAGCAAAACTTGAAAATACACTGGAAGGGTGAGTGGAGAGGTAAACTATTTGATTTATTGTAAATAGAGGGAACGAACATAGTTTCAAAATTCTTAGAAGATATGGTTAAAAGATATTATTTTAAATTATGTGGATAAACATATTGGATGTATTAAATGGGAGAAGGCTTGACATGGAGGGGAGATAAATGACCCAGCTTTCTTTGACATCAGCAATTTGGTTTTAAGGTATAGACATTATAGTATAAGAATCAGTGATCTGACTATATACCTATAATTGCAGCGTTCAGGAGGCTGAGGGAGGAGTATCACCAGGAATTTGAGTCTTATATTAAAAAATAAATAACAATTAAGGACTTTATAGTTAAGTATACTCACTGTCCTCCATCACAACTAAAAAAAAAATAAATTGTTTCTATTTGGAGAGTAAGACTTGTCATGGAAGACAAAGATGGACTTTACTTTGCATTCTGCACCATTTAAACTTTTCTATATGTTTAGTATCTTTAGTGAATATTTTTATTTATTTGTTTATTTATTTATTTTTGTGGAACTAGGGATTGAACTCAGGTCCTTGCGCTTGGTAGGGAAGTGCTTATTCCACCGAGCCACCTCCCTGGTCCTTTAGTGAATATTTTTAAGTATACGTTTTTCAAATCTATTCAGCCAGGTTGTTTCTTTGACTTTGGATGTATCCTGATATACCTTGAGTCTACTGAAATGCTATTGTTATGATAGGAACATACACTGTCCCAACACAGGAAGTGACTGTTCTTGTCCCTTTGGGGCACATCAGCTCTCAGCAGAATATTAACAACCATACTGTGTCACTAGGAAACGGCACCCAGGATGATGGCAACATCTAGAATCCTCCATGTTAGAAGAGTTAAGGGAACCACTGATGCATTTCTTGGGAGGTTGGAAATCAGGAGTGACGGCAAGAGGATTGCCAGCACCAGAACTTTGGAGGAAAGTGTACTGATCAGAGTGGGCAGATATAGGTCCTGTGGGTACAGTGTAAGCAGCTTTCTAGCTACCAGAGCTGTGTGATGATGTCAATTAGTGATCACGCAAAGATCCTGTAAAGAGAGCATGCATGTTTAATTAGGATTCTTGTAAAGATCTTACAATTTTGAGTTTAAAAGGGAGCTATATAGATTTTGTTTTTCCAATA